GAATGATGCGGTGTGGTTTCTGTATCTTGTTTTGAAGTCATTCTCTGTGAGTCCGATGTATGTTTCTGCCATGTTGTTGCCTTTGCGCGTGATGGTGGCTTGGTAAATTACTGATGGTTGTGGGCAGTTTCCATTGAGTGGACATGCATCCTTTTGTCGGCAGTTGCATGTCTTGTTATTAATGGTAGTGGCAGCGGTGGTAGGTGGTGGTAAACCCCATGGCTAAAGGGTGGTTGAGTGCCAAAAGCAGTGGATTGAGAAGGTGACTAATTGACATTTCAAACACCAGCCTGCTAGGTTTTGGCTTAAGGGTGGGGGAGGAGTTTTACAAAATTCATCTTCACTCAAACAAATGTCCATAAATCACAGTTTTGCAAGGGAAAACTTCCTCTTCCACTCATCCAATTTTATTGATACATTTGTGACTTTAGAAACTGATAATGATCATGAAATGGCTGATATCTTTAGGGCAGACAGGCATAAAAATTGTTTTTAATGTAACTTTGAATCCTGAGATATCCTTATTTTGCACCAAATTTCAAAAGAAATAGGAAAGCTTATTTAGAGTTTACTTCTTGCAAAGACCCATGCTTTTATCCTGCTTGTAAAAAATGTTTTCTTCTAGTATTTACACACAGCAAAACATTGAAACTTAACAGGCATCAACAAAAAGTTTTGCTTGATGCCTGTTTGTGATTGACAAAGTGACTCCAGATTATATCTCTTATCATTAGTTCAGGAGGTAACCTGAATCCCAAATCATTGTTTTGTGTTCTTGGGAGACCTGTGCTTGTATATGTGTCAATCTTTCAAGCTGACATGTTTTACATCCTCAAAAAAGTTAAATCTTTATAATTTAAGGAACAACTCTTAAGCATTATTATTGTATATAAAATAAAACCCAGGCTTCACATCCTTGGCAGTCCTCCTCTTTATGTTTCTCAAGTTACCTTAGTTAACTGTTTGTTTACTTAAACCATTCACAGTCTTTTAGCTTGGTTTGCACATCTTGCTCTCCTTCACAGTTCTTAGAGGACAGTCTTGACTGAGTACTGTAACTCACCTCTTATGAAGACTGCTCCCCAATTGAGTCACCAGAGATTCTCCATTTTTTACCAACTACAATTAGAGAGAAAAACGAGAGTTAACTATCACTCACCACACTACAGGTAATCAGTGGTGGATATTTATTGACATTTATGTAAATAATTGTTTTTGTCCATGCAACACAAGAACCAAAAAATTAGCCAAAAGTTAACTCTTGATGCGTGATTTTGTTTTTTCAGCTCCCTGGAGGTGAATAGTACTTGCTAATCACTTCTGAACCAACCAATCAGTATGCAGTTTATACAAATGGCAAATGCTTCCAGTAGTCTTTGTCCTGACATACACTTCACACATTTTTAAAACAGTCCTCCTATGCGATTCTCTTTGTGCAGAAAGTTTGGAAACAAATCCATGAACTAGAATTTCCTAATAGCTTCTAACCCTTTAACTCCCAAGATCTGATTGTTAATTCTCCCCTCTAACTGCTACACATTTCCTTGTAAATTGGTTATGAGAACTTGGTGCTAAATGAAAATAGCAGCTTCTACCTGATAAGTTTGAATATTCTCATTACCTGTTTGCTGAATATATGACATATATATGACATATATATTGTATGGATATTGTGGGGAGAAGTTTTATGCTAATCACTCCTGGGTTAACAAATACTCTTGTGGATTAATATTTCCTTCCCCAATTCCAGAAAAGTTGAAGCACTACCAAAAACTTTCATGTAAAAGCAGCAAAAACTCACTGTTACAGTAAAAAAAAAAAATCAACTTCAATACTCCAAACTTTGCAGAGAAACTACTCTACTGCGACTAGTGGTTTAACTCCAGTTTTGAACATTGTTGATGTCATTTGTGTGATCAGTGAGGTTAGAGACAATAGACAGTTGTGGTAGATTTGTTAACTTTTTCATGGTAATGATAAAATTTTGTGGTTTTGAAGTAACTCCTCCTCAAAGAAAAGGCTTTTAACCTACACTAACAACTTTAAATCAATAATGTAGTGTATCTAAAAGAATGATAATAGCCTCAATTACCAGAAACAAATGATTTAATGGCCACAAATCCAATCAGCATTGACACAACTGCTATAATAGCCACCCTGAAAATAGAGACATATTAAATAGTGTAACAAGTTGGTGTTAATAGCAGAGCTCGCAGAGTGTAGCCCCATTATTAAATAGTAGTAACCCATCAAGCCGAAAAAACTTGGATGTACAACCGTACGACTGTACAAGGTGCTACTTTTAACATGCGTGGTCAACTGTACTGCAGGCACCCCAATGCCTTGGCTTTGTCGAATAGTCCAGTGGTCAGTGCACTGGGCTCTGAGTTGGATGACCTGGGTTCTAATCCTGGCCAGGGCAAGGCATTGTGCCCTTGAGAAAAAAGAAATGCAAGCTCCACTTTTAGGCTTGGCTAAATCTATATATTGGTTATAATTGTAGTGAAGTTTATATGCTTTATGTTTCTCTTCTCTACATAAATATTTTCACTGATTTTTGCCAAAGCCAGAATTCCCTGAATGTGGGAAAATCATATGAATTATGAGGAGATTTTATGAAAAAAAACTTATTGATTGTTTTCTATGGGAAAGTGCACTTCTGTATTGTATTTACTTAGAAAAGGTTCTGTTGATGGGGGCCTCGAGTTCCTTATCTTTTCTATTCAGAGAGAGAAAGACTGAATTGTAATAGTATAAATAACCCTTAACAACATGCTAGAAGAATTTTGGCTCAACCCAAGCTGAGAGGCTTTTGTTGGCTGGAATGGCTTGATGTGACTTTCAAATTCAAACCACTCAGAGTTATAAAACTAACCTGTATACTTGTGTAATTCAATTAAGTTTAGTTACCAGAAAACTTATCCGTGAGTTTAAATGAAAAGACATAACAACCAATTGCAAATTTCCCTGGCAAACTGATCTAAGTTTTATGAAACAAGTAATTAATAATTAGATTATGAGCTCAAGATTTCTATCACATGATAGCTGATGAACAGAAAGCCCCCACCAACTACCAAGCATAGAAATTCAGAGTAAACAACCAAATAGTTTTAATGTATAAATCTTCTAATATTTCAAATTTAATAAGAACATTTCATGGTTTTATTTATTTTGATTACAAACTCAAACTGTTAGGCTATGCACTTTACTCTCTGTCTATTACAGAATACAACTGTAGATAGTAAGAAGTGTCACCAATCAGATTGCAGCAGTTGTGTCAGAATGCTAGTGCATTTACACTACAGCTGACCTATAATCAACTATTCTTCATCAAAGTGGAGGTGAATAGAGGTTGATATTTACCAAGCTGCAAGCTAAGGTGAATAGTTGTTTCAGTATATACCATAGAGAAACCAAAAGTAAATTATTAATCTAGTTCTGTCAATACACCCAAAAATGGGTCCAAAATTTAATTGTTGACGGGCAAAATTTGTCTCTTTGGCTGCTTGGAGGTGAATAGTACTGACTAGTCACTTCCAAACCAGCCAATCAGTGCACGCAGAAAGCACTATTCACCTGAGTCTATTTCAAAACAAGATAGTAATCATAGAATAAAGAGCTACTGAGGTCCATCTTATAAGTCGTTCTTGAAGAACAAGGGGTAATGCAACTAGAATTACAAGGTGGTGCCATGATCTGTAAATAAGTCGCCCTGCATCCTCTAGTTTGGCCAAGTGTTAAACCATGTTAAATAGTAGGGGCTGGGAATACACATGTCACGGGTCGTCATTTTTGAAGGTAAACCTATAACCAAGACGGGGATACATTTTGCTACTACACCGGCGTTGACCCTGGGGAAGTCAATGAAAAGTGCCTTTACAATTAAAACGGTAAGCTACGCTACCTTTTTTCACCCTTCCTCAGTAAGGATGTTCTTTCTTGTGATCTCTGCCACATTTGAATATCGACATTCTTAGAAGGCTTTTTGGCTGCAGTAAGACTATTGGCATCGCTGACACTGTGCCTCATGCTAGATGATTCACTTGAACTTTTTTCTGAACTTCTTAAAACACTCTGGATATCAACCTTTTCCTCAATGGCGCTCTGCTTTTTTCTCCTTAGCATCTTATGATGATAATTTCTATTGTAAATAGCTGGCCTTCGGATGTTCTTAGTAATCTTGTCTAGTCTGGTTGACTGACCTCCTCTGAACAGTTGAGTGAACGTTGCCATTTCTTCAAAAGTAACTAGTATCCAGTCTTACCCAGTCGTCGCTTCATGAATCTGTGGTAGAAGTAAAAAATCGAAAAGCAGCAGGTTAACACCGAAACAGCAAATTCCAGACCTATTTACCCAAACTTGTAAAAAACTGAGACCTAATAATCGATTACTTATTGTCACTCTCTTGAAACCTCTTCAGGTCAGGCTAGCTGTTTTGCGCCATGTGGTAATGACCACAAACGTTGAAGGGAAGGAGATATATCTTATTGTTTAAAGACTGAGAGGGTCAAACCAGCCCAATTGGCAGGTGTTAATGTAGCAAACCTTTTGATTTAAACCTAACAGAAGAGTTGTGGTAAAAATTCCTGATCTCAGCTATCCGTTAAATACACGTTACGTGTATTCCTAGGCAGACTGATAAAAATAACTGATCAAATCTCAGCTATCAGTTGAGCCTGGCGCAGGGACTGAACATGGGAGAGTCTTATGCACTATTCAATGCACTTACTGAAAAGTTAACAGAAATAGGAGAAAGGAGTGACGGAGTGATAGACGGAAGGAGTGAATTTCGGGTCATAAACACAACTCGGTGGTGGCTTTGAGAGGCAAGTGATATACCCTCATCGACAAATCTTAAAAATTCGAAATAGAATACTTTCACCAAAGCTTCATAAATTCTTTCAAAGTACAAATACTTGGAAATGGACGTCGCTCGAATGTGGGAGATGAGAACAGTGGCAATTCCAGTAGCAATGGGGCTCCTGGGGTAATAAGAAAAGATACTCACAAGCAAATTGAAGAAAATCCAGGAAACAATTCTAACGGGAGCTGCGCTCATTCTAAGAAAGTGAAAGAACACTCCTATGGCCACTTAGAATCATGGTTTGGTCTCGGTCGTAGATGACTGTCGCAGTCAAATTTATTAATATTATTGTTATTATGATTATTGTTATTATTATCATCATTATCATTATTGTTTGCAAAGATAATAGTAATTTCTAGGTCTGTTCGCCCTCCTATCATTTGTACCGAGGTATCCAAGATGTGTGGTGTGTTGCTGAGGACTGGTGTTATATCTTAAAGTGCGACGATTATTACAACGTGCAAAACCATGTCAAGCTCGCCGAATCAAGTATATGAGATATGTTCCACCTTAACGAGTTGAACCCCAAAATTTTCAACGTGTTCCTGAGCCATGTTTTCTTTTTAGGCCCCTTCACATGACCCCGGGTTACTTGTAAACTCGCATTTGATAAATATTTTTAACAATTGATCGGTTGGTTGTAGGTATTCGATAGATCCACTGGAAAGGTGATTCGACCAGAGTGAGTCCTGATTCATCTCCGGGGATTTTAAAAATGAAGTGAACTAATACCATGAAGAAACAGTAAATTTGATGGTCTAGCAACGGACATAATCATGCTCCTGTATCGAGTTTAATACACAGACAAATCAGGAAGCTAATTTGACCTTACAGCGCAATTGCATCGTCCCTCCACGGACACCTCGCACTCGCGCGGCTCTGTTGTATTTTCCAAGAACGTGAAGTCTGACTGTGGACTCCTGAAGATGCCAATACGAAATGTAACTTGAAATTAATCCCAAAAATCTCAAACTTTAACAACGATTAATGGTTAACGGTCAAAGCTTGGTATGGGAAAGTAAAAAATAGAAGATACGGGATTTCGGATAACTTACGGGAGTGAGGGAGATATAAAGCACCAGTGATCCGATGACTTCAAAATTCACACTGTGATCACTAATTCGAGGAAGTATTGTAATCCGGATTCAAGCGGCGCTTTGCATTTAACACCAATTTTTCAGTGGATTACAGTTATTTGTGCCAATTGGTAATCTTAATAATTATCGCTTTCGATGGCTAGGCCCTCTTCGACTATTCTAGAAATGCTACATTTAAAAAAATTGAACACCAACAGATATTGGTCTTCAGTGATTGTCTGTGCAACAAATGTTTCAAATCTGGCTAAGGTGGATCCAATAGAACAATTTTGTCATTTGGTCACAGCAAGACATTTGATTCGACCCCAACTAATCGAGTTGTTGAAGAGATTTATTCTTTGTTTAATTTAATATTCCTTATCTAAGATTGTGAAAGATTTTCTGAGATTCAGCGATGCATTCCGTATTGCTGTGCGGTATATTGGTCTTTAAAATGCCGCCTCTGATAATATCGAAAAAAAAACATTAAGCCCAATAAATTAACGTATTACATCAGGCTTTTTAGCGTTTCTTTGTTGTTTATTTCTTCTTCCTAACATCATATTCTGTATCTTTGTTGCTGAAGTACGGAGGGCGGAGAAACCTTTCTCGAGGCCCCATTGTCATGAACGCTTTCACATTTTTTGTAACAATAGAGAGGAAATTTGTAAGACAAAAGATTTACTGACCATAATTATTGACGCCCTGTCTCGCTGTCGCCTTGAAAAGCCCTAATAATCTTGTAAAGATGAAAAATATAAACAAGTTATGGTTAACAGAAAAGCGCATATTTCAGCATCGAAGCGAGACGGTCCACTTGAAACGAACAATAAAATATAAATAATATCAAAATATGAGCTTTTCTAAGAATTAAAATTTGGTTGCCATTAAACGTTAGTAAAGTTGCTGTAGAACGTAATATTTACTGTTAATGTTTACCGTTTCATTGAGTTTGAGTATTTACTTTGATGAAAGGATTTAAATGGTTGATGATGCCGATAAATACTGAATATATACCGTGAACATGGCCAGAGGAGTTTGCTGTTTTCCGTGGAAGCTAGCTTACTTAGTGCCCGCCAGACTCTTTTATTCCCGCGGTAAACATACGTTGTGGCAAGAGCTTTCAAAATTTACATCGGATGAGAATCTAGCATAGATATTTTAGGACTCAAAATATAAGAAATTCTTACTCGTGAAGTTTCCTAGATTGTTTTAAAGGCCGTTCAGAGAAAATCGGAGTTTCCAGCACAAATAAACGAAATTGAATGCAATCATCATTTTTTCCCTTTCCCATCCGGATACACGAACGAAGGAAAAACCTATTAAAAGACATGTCAGAAGTTCTTTAACGCTTGCAAATGGTCTTGCACTTTTCATTAGCGTCACAGGCATTGTCAGTTTATTAAACATTACTTATCACTTCTTTTCGGTTCCCTCCCAGTACGACAGTTTCTTCGATAACAATCAATGTTTCTTTTTGTGGTGAAATCTATACATACTAAACTGAGTTTGTCTACTTGGACGTCATTTTCTCATGCAGTCTAACTTGAACCAAGCTGAAAGTTGTTTGTGCCTGTCTAAGAATGGAAAAAAAGAGAGAATTGCAATTATTTAATTTGGAGCGATATTGTGTTGAATATATGGAGTAAGTCCTTATCGCTGCCTGTACCTCAACCCTTTTGTTCGGCTGTCATCGCTTTGCTATCTTGGTGTGTTAATGGCGTAAGAGGCGTGATATATAGTGCGCGTGAGAAAAGATATGCAGATCTCGAAACATCCAGCCAATAATCCGTGAGCAAATATTTGCTAAGCCTAAGCCTTAGAATATTTGCATTTTGTTTAGAGGGCAAACATCGCGCAAGACGCCAAGTGAAGCTACCGAAAAGCGGTTTACACCAGATCAAAGGGCGCCTTGAGACAACGCCAAACACGAGAAATATCTTTTGTGGAAAATTTCACAACAAAAGCTAGATGAACCGAAGAGAATAGGACTGATGAAGCGCTAATTTCCAAGGAATTGCGTTTCTTTTGCTAATGGCTTTGGCTTAAAAGTTCCATTCACTGATGTGCGAATTACATGCCACAATTCACTAATGAGAGAGCCTCGCTCGTTGATTGGTCGCTGTGTGAATCTGTCAATATCGCTAATCTAATGACAAGGGTGACATGCAATCGACTAAACACTGACAAAACACCTCGCTGAAGTCAGAATGAAATCACTCTTAAAATAGCGGGCGCAATGCATGTAACACGCCGCATCGTGTATGTAGCTTTGATATTTTCTAGCGCGTTCTACGTCGCTCTCAGCAGAGAAAGGAAATGTGAAAAGATCAAGATACCTTTGTGTCAAAGTGTTGGCTATAACTTCACATACATGCCAAACATGTTCAACCACGACACACAGGAAGAAGCGGCGCTTGAAGTTCATCAATTCTGGCCGCTAGTCGAGATCAAGTGTTCGGCAGACCTGAAGCTCTTTCTGTGCTCCATTTATGCTCCTATATGTCAGCCGAACTATAGGAGAGAAATTCCCCCATGTCGATCGCTTTGCCAACAAGCAAGGGAAGGTTGTGCGCCTCTTATGCGCCAGTACGGCTTTTCGTGGCCCAAACGAATGAGATGCGAAAACTTTCCTAAATTTGGAAATAAGATATGTGTAGGAAAAAACGAAAGTACAACAACTCCGACGTCAACAACAGCTAGAACAACAAGTGCACCGATATCGGCGAAAGGAGGTGATTCGGGCAATCAGGCGGTCAACTGTTGCTCTTGCAGACCGCCGTTTGTGTCATTAACTGACGAAAAACTTAAACCGAATTTGCGGGACATTTCTACAGGGGGTGTCCCACACTGTGTAATGTCTTGCAATAAAACGTACTTCTCGCAGGATCAAGAAAACTTCGCATCGTTCTGGATTGGACTGTGGGCTGTCCTGTGTTTTATCTCTACCCTCGTAACCTCGCTGACGTTTCTTATCGACATGCAACGGTTCAGATATCCCGAGCGACCGATCATTTTTCTGTCCGTCTGCTATTGCTTTGTGGCTATAGGTTACATCATTCGTTTCATCGCCGGATACAAGAACGTGGCATGCGATTCTCAAGGCTTGATGAGATACGAAACATCAGGACCGGCCGCATGTACCATCGTTTTTCTACTGATTTATTTCTTTGGAATGGCATCGTCACTGTGGTGGGTCATATTGTCCTTCACCTGGTTTCTCTCTGCTGGGATGAAGTGGTCAACAGAGGCCATCACCAACTATTCACAGTACTTTCATGTGGCCGCATGGCTTGTTCCAGCGATACAAACCATCGCTGTCCTAGCGATGTCTACAGTAGATGGAGACCCAGTCAGTGGGATTTGTTTTGTCGGAAATCACAACCTTCAGAGCTTGATCGTTTTTGTTGTTGTACCCCTTCTCGTGTACCTGGTGTTTGGGACGTCCTTTTTAATAGCGGGTTTCTACTCATTGGTTCGTATTCGGAAAGTTTTACGTATGCAGACTGATAAACTGATCAAAACTGATAAACTTGAAAAGCTAATGATTCGCATCGGAGTCTTCTCTGTCTTATACACTGTGCCCGCCACTATTGTTGTGGCTTGTTATTTTTACGAATTTGTAAACAGGGAAACCTGGGAGAGATCCGTGGTGTGTGCGGATTGCAACAATGTAAATCAGGTTCGACCGGACCATTCGGTGTTTATTATCAAGTATTTCATGGCGTTGGTTGTCGGCATCACGTCGGGATTTTGGATCTGGTCTGGTAAGACAATAGAATCTTGGAAAAGATTTTGCAATCGACTACTTGGCAACACACAAGCACGAAGAGAAAAGGGGGAAAGAACTGTAACGGCCACTGTTTGAATAAGCTGACTAAATGTTTGTTTTAATCAGAAATATTTAATACCTGCCGGCCCACTCGCTTGAACAAACCATCGCTAATAAAGGTCTTTTGAATGCACTGTTATCAGCTTATTCGGCCATGAAGTGCATAGTATGCCAAACATTTACCACAGAGCAGGCTAAAACTGCCAAACGAAACAACTTGGGAACGCTAATCCTTCCGGACCATTCAAACTGTATAAAAGTACACGTATGGACCGAAGGAAAATGAAGCACGCTTGAATATTACGTTAAACATTCATGATTGAAGACAAGTAAAATTTGCATAGGCTAATGGATTAAGTTCTTTTTTAAGTCATCCCTGGACGCTTTCAAACGTGATTTTAAAGCAAAGAACTCAATAGAAGCATTTTAATTCATAATTCCTTGGGAAGTAATAAATCCAAACATCTGCGGTGATTACGGCACCAAGCTTTTAACCATCAGACAGCTGACTGAAGAGTTCGCAAGCAAAAAAGAGGTTTTGTAGATACGCACTGGACGTTAGCAATCTTTTCAATAGTCTAATTATGGTGCTAATTAAAGGTCCCAAGAGGGGCGTCCACCTAAGGCTATTAACGCCAGATCATTCAGCAATACGCTGTTTAAAATAAGTTGAGCTGGAGACGACGTTGTTTACAGGTTATATTTTAGATAAGATAATATATTTCTACCGGCAGTTTATCCTAAACAAGTCGCTTCACGAACCAGTCTCGCTAGTTGAAAGTCTCAATGCAAGACAATAACGTCCTAGGTCACATTAAATATCTAAGATTTTTTAACCTATAGTGTCTGTCATCTTTCTACTAAGCGAAATCCCGAAGACTAAAATTTGAGGTTCATGTCTCAACAACAGTTAACTTTAGTAGCTCGGTTGGTGTGGAAACAATTAGTAAAGATGTCTGCGTTTGCCTTGCACATGACAAAGCACTTAACGAGCTCTACGAAAACAAAAGGTTGAGTTGTGGTGGCAAATCCAACCCACTAATTAGCAGCCAGTTCTAACAGCACGTATCACACACCACCCACAGCTATTAATCACTGTCTCGTCAATTTTCTTCATCAGACTTGAAGCCTTGAACATGTTTTACAACTCAAGCTCGTGGTATTGTTTACGAAGCATCAAAACGTCACGACCTTTTAGTTTCAGATAACACAAAATTTAATATGTTTACTTTTAATGTAACAGAACAAGAAAGCGTGGGAGTGATGATACATCGCCACTGTGCACAACGGTTTCCGAGTTGGACTCAAAGCGCTAACATCTTGAAGGAATCTTCGTGATTAGACTGCGGATAGATGTCAGTACACCTGATAACAAACTCACGACAGCGCTCCAAGTACTTCGTTATGTAAATGATTTCGATTTGATATCTTTGTCACTCTCCTTGAAGCACATAAGAATAGTAGTTATTTAGCTGAAATTCATAGTTTATAAATTCGATTGACGACAGTGACAAAGTGCCTCAATAACCCGTAAAATCGGTCCATTATGCCCGATTATCGAACCATGGACTCAGTTATGCTGTCAAATTATGTCACAAAATATGCAAATGTAACCAAGCGTATCCTTCGGTCATATTGACTTCTGCGGTATATTTATAATACAAGAGTATTAAAAGCATGTATAATCTGTGCAGGAATGTGTTGTTTCAACAGTAGTCGTGTTATCTCATTCAGAGAATCATTCACGCAATTTCAAACTTTACTTTCTTTTCAAAGTACGGTTTTTTTTCTGTTCTAATGAGGTCAGATTATTCTAAGATAGTTTGGAACAGAAAAATATAATCTTCACAATTTTCGTCTAGAAATCGAAGCTAACCGTTGAAAGTTGAGCTTAGCTTATTAAAATAAAGCTTCCCCCTCCACCCCGGCCAATGAACTGATCGAGATATTACATTGATAACCCAACAGCCGGCTTAGAATTCTGTTTTCCTCTTACTCAAGCGGTGAGGTGTATCATCTCTTCAGACAACAAATCACGAGGTTAGTGATTTTTCCTTCGTGGGGGAGTTACAACGTAACAGGAGCATTGGAAGACTTCTTGGCTTCAAATATTGGTTACTTATTAGACCGTTAAGTAAGTTAGTTTATCTGTCGCCGGCTTAATGCTAAACTTGGTTTAAATCCCCTTAAATGTCACCCTAAGAAGCTTCTCTATCCAAGGAAACACCGAGTGAAAATGACACGCAATGTAAGAAATTTTAAACCCGCCGCTGATAGACTTGTTTTCTAAGAACGCCATGGCATGATCACAGAATGGCGTTTACTTTCCCTGATTTATACAGTTTTGGAAGGGGTATATCGTAAAATGGTCCTCACAATGAGTCGTGATGAAGAAAACAATCCTTCCTTTGAGATACTGAAAGATAAGAAGGTTTTGAGTACGGATCGGATTTGGACCTTTTTCAACTTAGTTAATGCCGTCAGATATGTCTAACACATAAACATGGTTGTCTCGTAGACTTGAAGGCCTTACGTTTAGTTGTTTTCCGCCTTCGGAACGAAAGTTCATGGACATACGATTATGAATGGTAATGTTTCAATTTTCCTTGGGAAATGAATAACCGTTTGGTGATTTATTTAAGGACTGAGGAGAAATTACTTACTTAGCCATAAGCTTAGTAAGAATTGATACACATTACATAAAATAACAAAATTTGAATGACTGTGATATGATGAAGGAGTCCGAATCAACAGTCACAAGCGGTCAAATCATCCCGAATGATAACAAATTGAACCGAACATACGTTGCACGACTAACTTTATATATCCTGGAGCGTCACCTTCATCCTCGAGAGCGGTCAGTTTCCATATTGTAACTGTTAACGAGATTAAAGTCTATAAAATGAATAGCGACTTAGGAAAACTACACCGCATCCACGAATTATTATTGGAATGACCTAACCTACCGGACTGAAACCACACCTTTATAATCATTCTTTTGCCACCACTGCTACTGAAGATAAGAAGTAAATCACACATTTAAAAGGGCCAAGTTTGTATCGTAAATACTAAAAACTTCATGAAATTTAAATTGAACTTCCTAATCGACTATGATAACTAGTAATTTAATCACTCGTTTAATTAGGTGCAAGCAATAAATTTTAACTAGCTTGCGATTTAACTTTCCACAATTAGCATAAAACGACTGTTACGCATCGTATTGTTACACGAAATATCTGTTTGATCAAAGCAACGCTGACAGTTAAGGTGTATAAAATGAGCTGCCAAGAGGAACAAAACGGAGCTGAAAAGACTCGCAAAGAAGCCCTGAGAGAGATCATGTGATTGTTGCTATTATTGTTATTACATGTAATATTATTATTGTTAATGTTACCATTATCGTCATTATATCATTGCCTCATCATTATTCCTATCATCTTCTTCATCAACATCGTCATAATCATATTTGCTACTATCAGTTAACATTATATGAACGTTGCAATTATGTGGACAGCAGACCTCCTTAATATATGGGAGTTGACTGCACATTGGTTTTCACTAACGAGATGAACAGTTTGCATTTTTCTAGAAGCAATAATAAACTTGTCTAAATCACAAGCAAAACAATTGGCAAAAAAAATTCGACAAACTTAAAGTTTTTTATTTAAAAATACAGCAAATAAAGAAACAAAGATACGAGGCAATAACGTTAAGTTTTTCAGAGAGAACTACAAGCCAAGCTTACTAGCCTAACTCTAGATCTTTCGGGAAAAATATTCCGACATGATTTAGCTATGTATATTAAGACCCTGACTTCTTCACTTTCACTAATTCTTTAAGTTTTTAGAGCCAAGAAAAACTCTCTGCTTTAATACGATGCAACTATTGTGACGAAATTTTAAATGAATAATCATAATACAGTTGGAAATTGAATTCTGTGCTGTTACCATCCAGTACGAGACAGGCTACCAGAGGGAAACAACATCCTGAATGAAAAATAAAAAGAATACATTTATGGACCAAAATTATAGGACTTAAGAGCACAATAAATACCAATTATTTGACCCTCCTAAAAAGCACTCTCACCGAAATAAAATGTCTAAGTGCACGCTAATTTTCCGATGCGAATGCCTAAAAATTTTGTATCCCATTTAGAGCGTTGTTTATCTCTCTTGAAGATCTGTGATTTACTTGGAAACGAGTACTCATTAAAGTGTTGGGGTTTGAGGTCTTCCGCTGTGGTTTGTGGCCTATGGACAACTTCTTTTGATCACAGATACCAAGCAAACTGATACTGACGAATTTGCTGATGGATTTTTCTGTCCGCAAAACATGGATGGAAACTAGAAATCATGTATAGTGCCTTCTTTCAAGTTCTGGGACATGTTTTACTGATGCTCCTTTGCTTAGCATTAAGGCAAGTTTCTTACCTTGTGAATCCTATTCTTTAAATCGACGTAGGCTTTTTCGAGATCATCATTAATGATCACACTGTCAAAATTGCCAGGCTCTTCAGCTGAAATATGGGAAATAAAGAGCAATCAGTAGTTTGAGCTGGACCCAAACATGTGTCCTATCTGTAAACAATCTTACATATGTCCCACAATCGCATAATAACCATAAAGATATCACGTTACAGAAACTGTGGAAATTATCTCACTCCCATTTACTAGTCGAGAGCCACCGTCTTGCAACTGGAAGAAATTTGCAGTTTTCTATGATAATAGTTCGATGATGAATTAGAAGTTTGTCTACATGTTCTCCTTGCTTTTTTGTGGTAAACGTTTTTTTCAAGTTCGGAAATTAGTTTTGGACCTCAGCCAAGATCGTCTATCTGATGGAAATTTTCTCAGTATGCTGACTAACGCCTTATTGCCTCTGAGGGTCGTGAACTCTGAAGCCCAGTGTGCAGCTCAGTGTGCAGCTCTACACTATGATCACTCAGGAAAATTATCATGTTGGTGACTAATGAGACGCAAACATGCATGTAAAAGCATTAAAAAGGTTCTTAAAATTGTTAGTAATGTTTGCATTCTTTCCGGTTTTGTTTTGTTTTAAAAGCTACCGTCTTAGTTATCGAAAAATAATATATCGTTTGTACCCTTCAGATTGTGGCATCAAGGTTTTGTGCATTTTGTACAAGTGAGAGGCTATTCCTGATGTCGTTAACTTCAATTTCCCTGAAATATTTGTTTGTTGGAGACTGATTATACAAATCGAATTTTAAAGAAAAATTCCACTGTCTATTCTCATCTTGATCATTAAAACATGGTATCACAAATGCGCTTCGCGGTTTCTCTTTTTTTCAGCAACAAATTAACCTCTTGGTACTTCTCTTTGCATTCTGTGAGTTTTTTTTAGCCTGATTCACAGTCGTTTAGCTACTTTTTATATTCTTCTTTCACCTTAATCGCCCCTCTATATGATCTTTATTTCAAGGGCAAAGCAGGAGAACTAAACACGACCTAAACAGCTGTAAATTAGCCTGAAATCTCGCAAGATGCAAAGGAACAAACACAGGGGCGTGGTAAGTTTGTCTTTGAACAAGTTTATTTCAGGTACAGTAAAAACCCGTATATATGAACCCAGGTTTTTTCAAGTTAGCCTCCATAGGTTTTTCTATAAATAGTGTTTACTGTGAAATTGAGCTACCAATTTCTCAATCACGTTCTTAATTTTTGTCTGAAGAAAACAACTTGTATTGGTGGGTGCGGGTGTGATACTGCGCTGTCTACCAGCTTTAGAGTGTCCTGCTCTACATGGTTAACTTGTACACACCGTCAAATATGTTGCACTGCTATGGATGTATTGATAGAACAGTATTGTGGTCTTACAACACTACCGGTGTTCTGGCTAGTTTCTGTTACTTTTGTATCGCATGCAATGTACTGTATCAAACTTGAATGAACTCTAAATTCTTAAAATAAGAAGTTGCATTGAGATTTTTGCTTAGATGGTTCTTATGAGACAGGTGCTTAACTGCTTAACTGTTTTTAGCAACTAACAGGTTTTTAAATTTTAGGTTCTTATGTGAGGGTTTTTACCGTATTTTGGTTAAGGATGCGACCTTTCGATGTTCATTCCCATACAAAATCTTATGTTTCGCCCATTACGAAACGGAGACCTATTTACCGAGGCCCATTGTGCAAACTTTGGCTACCTGTGGTTTCACGTTTGAGAGGTAACATTGCTTCCTGGAGGCAGTTCCCTTTAGGCGGGATATCTTTTTGCCTTGTAAATAGCTTGCCTTGTAGCCTACGTGTAACAGTGCCTTCCCCGCTTCAGTTTCTCCTTGGAGGAGAGGGTAAGGCTACACGGAGGCTTCTTGTCCCGAAACTCAAATCAAGGTACTGACTGGCAATTTATATACTTGGCGAGTTGAACTCAAGTGAACTAGTTATCGGAAGATGGTCATTAGTTCAGGGGTCGAAACAAAACAAAGGGTTAGTACATGCATGTTTCTTTCAGTCCTACCATAAGCTAGTTCCTTCCTCGCTGTAGCTAGTCTCCTTGAAAGCGAATCTTCTGTCTCTGTTCCTCGAGCACGAAGGCGTCTTTCCTACATCAACAACAACAACAACGATAATAAATCTTCTCGTATTGTTAACGACATCATCATACGAAAAATTGTTTCAGGATTAGTACTAAACATTTAATACAAACTCAAGATAAGTTACCAGTTCCTCTAATGTAGGTGTCTTAACAAAGAGATAATAACAATCCATGTCTGCTCTCTTCAAACTAATCACGCCCTGAAAATATAAAGACAAAAAATAAGCAAGCTGACGATCAATCTGAACTTCATGTTTAGTGTATTGTTAACACGCCCTATGTTTGAATGCCAACCCTGGTGCCAAGCGACTCAACAAGACAAGTCGGGAGAGATTATCCACTTATCCACACATTAAGAAACCTATGCAATGATAAGCATTGCCCATTTCTAATTAAGTGCCAGTACATTTTGGCTGATTACCCCCCTCCCCCATCCCAATCACCAATTTCCTCTGGTTCATCAATCGGTTTTTTTGTGTAAATATACATTCTGTTCTTTCTACATAAAATTGTGATTGGCTTTTTCATAGTAATAAGTCAAAACACCTGTGCCTCTGGGCTAAGAGACTTCCCTTTAATTAGGGATAAAGGAGGCGAGAGGAGAGCTTCTGGTGGTTATTCCCAGGATGGTAGAAAAAAAAGCCTAGTTAACTATCGTGCATACAGAAAGAGGTACCGTGAAAGATCTGATATGCACCCCAGAGGCTTATTCACTCGTTTCTTTGTGTGAAAAACCTACGCAGATAAAGGCTTTAATCTACAAAAGATTTTGTACAGAACAACAATACCGTTACTTTGTGCTTAGAGATAGAGGGAGGAGAAGGGCTAGAAGCTCTATGAAATTTGAATATCTAAAAGGAGGGTGGATTTACATGAATACAAAGAATATTTACTCAAACAAGCAGTATTGAAAGTCATATGACCCTTGCTCATCAAAGCTTTTCTTATCTCATTCTAAACTCCTGCCCTGTCACATAACAATGGTCTATTTCTTCTTTTGGTCATACCTGCATATCTATGTCCAGCAAGCAAACTTTGCCTTCATCCAAAACATCTTGTACTGCCTTTTTGCTTCAACAAGACAAATAGCAATAATAAATTTGAGTATTTATGGCATGTTGCATCCCTGCCTTAAGATGCCATGGCCTGTGTGGGTTTGCTTCTTTTTAAAATTAGTTAGAGTCAAGAGAACATGATATTCTCCTGTTAGAGTAGATTAATTTACAAAGAAGAAAGATAACTGGGAGGTACTAAAAAGAAAAACTACTTACATAAGCTGCACTGAGTTTACATGTATCTAGAGGTAAAGTTACCAGTTATTTCAATTGAAACATGTTCCTTCTGTTGATAATCTATTCTGAGCAGGTTATATGTTGTTAGCCTCAAAGTCATCCTACACAACTGATACATGACTAAAATGAAACACGCATGATTCCCTGTAACTCTGAGTTTCATGCTTACGCACTCATAATTAAATCTGTCTGATGAGTGCGTAAGCATGAAACTCAGAGTTACAGGGAATCATGTGTGTTTCATTTTAGTCATTTTGAACTGTATTTTGCTCTACACTCATGTGTATTGAGCACTTTCCAACAGCATTTGCTGCAATTTCCCACAACTGATACATGATAGTTTTGAAGGAATTGTATTTACAATTGAAAAATACATGTTGTTTCATTGTGAAATAAGACTCCCTGAAATGGAGAAAAAATTTAAATATTGGTATTCCATTACAACTCACCCCATAGAAAATAAAATGCAAGCTATATGAAATACATCTGCATCTGAGATGATCTTCTGTATAGCAATATGTTCACAAGCTAGTTTATGAGTTTCAACAAGCTATGCTCAAAAGCATCCAAATCATTTATTTCCTCCAACACCAAACAAAAGAGAAAATTACAATTACATTGTAGTACAGGTTACAATCTGCCCACTATATTACCTAGTTCCATAAAGATTTTGATTGTAAACTGCTGACTCAATAAATTCACCAGCATTAATACTCTTCTGCATCACATCCTGATCAGTAAAGTGGTAATCTAAATGCAAAGAGAAAACTTACCTAGTCAAAGAGTGGATGATGTTAAAACAATATCAAAATAATTAGTTTATCCCTAACATGTTAAAAAACTGATCTGTTGTACTAATCACAGTAATAATTTCAAATAAATAGAATTTTCAAAAAAACAAAACAAAACAAAACAAAAAAACCACATCAACATTGTTGTGTACATCAATAATGTAAGGTGATTGCATTTGTTCCATCAAACTTTAAACCTTAGACCCTTTATAGAGTTTCATCATTTAAATGTACTGGGGCTCACCAAAGGTCTTTGATTTGTAATAGCTAATAAGAACACATCTGATTTCCCATGTTTGTATTCTGTAAAGGGCAATGGTAATACAGGATTAAATCTGTCACCAAGACTAAAACTTATACTTCATGAAGAAAATGTTCTTTTTGCAGTGTGCATTGGTTGGCCAGTGAAACTTATCACATTATACTCATGGAAAAACTAGAGGACAAAAGTATTTTACTTTCCTGAAAGACAAGATATTCAAAAGTTGGACTAAATGTTCTTCTCCCCCAACCCCCCTCCCCTCCCCCCCCAAAAAATGGAAAAAAATAAAAATAAATAAAAAAAAGGAAACAAGCCATTCCTGCTATGTGTTACCTTTTCCACCTATCTCCCCAGGTCGTGGATGTCTTGTAGTGTCTGAAAAACGATGGCACAAGAAATAATTTTCTATCAAAGAAAGAAAAACAGATTACCTTTGAACCAATCTAGAGAGTGAAGAAATAGCATCATACAAGATCACAAATTTAATAACAAGAGGGAGAGAGAAAAAGTAAACAAACAAACCTAGCTAGAAAACAGAAGCTCATATGCTTCTTTTGGAAACTCAATGTATCTATAATATAAGGAATCTATTACAAATGCTCACTTGCAGGGAGATTTTCCTTGTCTTACTTTTTTCAGAAACCAATTTTTAAAATTTTTTTTTTTCGATCTATGTGTCTCCCTACCATAATGAATAAAGGGTGAGCCATCTCTCCTATCAATGCCTACTTCAATGGCAAGCCACATTCATTTGCATACAGTAACCAATCACAAATACCTGTCACACTACATTACCACTGAAATCACAATATTCTGGAATAGCATATCAATGTTACCCAAATACCCCTACTTTCAACTTCTCTCCTCTAGCATTATGTTGCATTTTGTGTTCTTTAATTGAAACATTGAATGAAGGAGTTCTGTAGCAAACTACATTTCAATTTGAATTTCATTTCTAAATACATCCTTGAAAATGTAACATATGTAAATGTTTCAGCCCATGTTTCAAAAATTTTGATGCCCACTGTAGTCAAAACCACATATTTCTTACGTGATATGGAGAAGCCAAACTTTGCAGGATAATCGTTCATCAACTTTTTCTTAAGAGTACTCTTGCCACAACCACTTGGACCAAACAAAACTAATGATCTGATTTTTCCAACTAATCAAGGGAAAAAGAGACAATTACATTTTTAGCAAAATTCAACAAAGAAAAACAGTACAGATGAGTAATACAAACACACAACCATGTACTTAATTTTGAAACAGTTTTTAACAGGTGGGTTCATAACTACAAAATCATTAAACTGATTAAAAGTTCTAAAGAATTTTAAAAATACTTTAAAATCTCAAAGTGATAAAGAGCACAACTTCTATACAGAAATGCAAATCTGAACCAATGTTATCAAATTGTTTCCCACCAGTAATATGCAGATATCAAATTTCACTTTTTAAATATGTTCATGGCTGGATAGAGTTGATTCTAGATGGATCATAGCTATGATTATCATAAAAATATTGATACTTCTAATAATTGCCTTATCAACATAAAAGTGCTGTTACAAAACATGCCAAGAAAAATACAAGAAATGACTTAAAGCAGTTAAAAGACTGGGCTTAAAAATGAAAAACTGTTACACTAATAAAACTGAAAAAAAATTTTCATTTGAAAAAAATTCAATCAAAATAGGTTGCTTAGTCTCATGTAAGACCTAATTTAACCTTCAATGAGACCCTGTAAGATAAATCCCTCAATTAGGGTCTTTCAAATAAATCACACCAATCAAAATATTAACAATAATGTTACAATAGATCTCAGGGAGAATGGACATTACTTAGTATTATTATTTAGTATTGCTGACTTTGATTACATCATGGCTGCACAAACATAACAATTGATAAGAAGATAATATCATCCTTTAACAACCCCTCTTTTAACCCACACAAGGTTGCAACTGTTTCCTATTTTCCTTACTCTGTAAAGGTATGATATGTTATCAAACAAATTTAAAAGAGGAGAGAAGACAGAGGAAAGTGAAGATTGTAAATAGTCTAGAAGAGTGAAATCAGAGCTTTCACTCTAGAATCAACTTTATTCTATTGTCTCTTTTGTTCCTAACACCTGCAGCTACAGAGAAAGAGAGATGCTGTTTTGATATGGTTGCTTGTGTACTTGACAAAAAACCATTGAAATAGTCATTTCATTTAAATGATTTTCCAACTTCTTTATATGACTATATTGCTTTCAAAATCCAACACAGGTGAAGTTCTACCACTGCTATTCCTGATGTTTTACTAAAAGGTCTCCAATTTGAAATTTTGACAAGTAGCTTCTACACCAACCTCAATATAAAAGTAAAGTGAGTAAACTGATTTTAACCAGTTTCCTATAGTAAAAACCCAGTGGTGCGATTACAAGAAATACGTGACATTTCATCTTGTAAAGTGGTACTTTACTACAAAAACAGTGGGAAGTTTTTAAATAGTCACCACATCTTGTTGAAATCATTGGTTACTACATGCTCTCATAACTACTGAAAACTGCATCAGAAAAATTTCTTAGAGAACAATGAAAGCAGCTGCTTTAAATTTTAACACCAAGTTAAATTCACCTGATTTAGAACTTGATCCCAATATGTGGACAAGAAAAATGGGTGTCATAAAGTACCAGGACTTCATACAATGATTCACTTTTGCACAATAATTTCCCTCAAATTTGATACGGTTTCACAATTTGGTAAAAAATAACCAGATGTAGGATACGGAATTCAATACTTCAAACTTTAAATAAATACTATTCCTGATTGAAGCTTATTCACATTATTGTCCAATAATTTCTTTACATACATCACTTGCTGAAGTAAAAAAAATACTTGCTGTTGTACGTAAAGAAAGATCCCTGTTCGTTGATTTGTCACAGTTTCCGTTGTACAAATTCCTTCGATAAATTCTTCCTCTTTGCGTTCTGCCAAGTTTCCTGCTGTAAAATTTCGACCTAACAGACAGTTCAAAATCTCGTCACTCTAAAACGTCGATGTGTTCTACTAAAGCTTTCAAGACTTGGCTCACCAAGACAACAGTGTGGTCAATGGTATGGCTACCGAGCAATCGAATGTGATTTGTCTTTTTCATAAGTTTTGTTTTTGTTTTTTGTTTTTATTTTTGGCCTTTTGCTCGTAAATTGCCTACTGAACACCAAGGAGGAGGTTTTCTACCACTGGCATCTAGTACAAGGTAAACTATAATATTAATTCCATTTAGGAAGCAATGTTTTAAATTACCGTGGTACAAATAAGTTTTTGAACGATCAACAACGTGAAAAGTGAAGCAACAATGTGCACGGTGCAAGGTCATCGCCAAGAGGAAAAGAAGGAATAAGAAAAAATTAAATGTAAACTGTATTTCCGGCAGATTGTTTCTGACTATTGAACAATCACTGTCGATTGATGAGTGATCTGTTGATCTGCTATTTACCTTTTCCGGCATCTCTGTGGCCTAGTGAAATGTTAGGACTTACCTGACATTATAAGGGAAGAGAGCACTGTCAAAATCCACGCGCAACTCTTGCAGCCCTTACTCTTTCCAGGATGATATAGTTATTTACTTCCAACCTTAAAAAAAAAAAAATCTTCAGAGGATTAAAATAACATCATGTAATCCTCATTGAACTGTCCTTTGCACTATGTCGGAAGCCGGTCGGGCATCAAGCTCGTTCTCAGGGTCTCTCTTCATTCTGACTACACTCACAGGCGACATTCAATTTAGGATGAGTCAGTCAGTCTCTTATTATACACATCATTCTACAGTCTTGACATGTGTTCTACAAAAAGAACCTGTCCTACGCCAGATACGAAAAAAACACTAAAAATCTACACTTTGACCATTCTAAACAGCATATGACAGTTTGCGGTCTTTCCTTACATCTAGGCAGTTCAGAAAGCCGTAAGACACTAGAACAAGAATTTATATTCCAAATCGGCACCCTTAATCCCCACGGAATCAACGAGCGCTTTTCATTCAACTAATTTATTCCTGTTTTCTCGTCACCATATTCCCACCAATGGCGTAGCTCCACTTCCTACATATAAATCCACACACAACCCACAATTCCTCTAATCGCTCTGACGAAGGGCCAACGCTCGAAACGTCAGCTTTTTTACCCTTTACAGTGGCTAATTTACGTTTTCAACCCAGTTGTTAACACTAAATTACCTGCTATACTCTCCCACCGACGCAGCACCACAGTTTCTTTAGAAACTTACCCCTTTATATCATAGGAAACCCGGATGAAAGGATTTGAGGTATGCCGTTAAACAACAATCGGCTACAATTTGCACAAATACATTTGTTTCCAAGTTCTTTCAATCATGTTTACGCTAAAGAAGAGGACTGACTTCCTTCAAAGACGCCTCCATTGGAAAAACACTTGTATTTTTAATTTCGATTCAAAAAACAACTCAGTGAGATGCACTGTAGACGAATCCCGTGAAGGTTTGGAGCAACCTTTAACCAGTCTTTGAGCACCTGTTTTGAAACTATTAACATTATCAAAAGGTTACTTGGTTGGCTGTTTTTTATATTTTTCTCTGAAAACGTTGTTGTAATTGAGTATAGATGACTTTAAGGTAGTGACCATTTATAAACGGCGTTTTCAAACGTTGCATGCATTAATATCTTCTAAGAGCAAAGTTGCAGCTATCAATTAATTTGTTTTATTATCATGTGTCATAGCAAAGTAATATTGAATATCAACAATGAAGAATTTTCTGTAAACCTTCGGCTTCCATTGATTGCCACTCTTTTTTTGTCAAGGGCCTCGAGAATAACATTCCAGTTGCTGTTAGGGACGTTTTTATGGAAATCTTGCCGTCCAAGTAACCACACGTTGTTAATCTTTCTGTAGCGTTTTTTCTCTATCAACAAGCTCGTTATTTTGCTCCCATAAAGTGTCAGATTTTCGTCCTTGTACATTCCTTTTGTGCGTCCCGTTGCTTCTCTTTCAGTATGGGATCCCGAAGAGAAAATTTGAACAGAAACAGATTTGAAATTTCGTAAAAAAAGGTTGTGCTTGTTTATCGTGGTAAGGGACAAAAATAATAAAGAATTAATGTTGGTCTCACGGTTTGGTCACTCATGATGTGACTCACCACGTTTGACTGCATTCCGCTAGTCTTCATCAGGCGATGAGGTCGACCGGTTTTGACTGTTGTTATAAAGCTGGACGCTTCGCTGTAATTGGTTCGTTCTTTCAGAGCTGTGATTGGCGCGTTTTAGTCCTCGATGTTGGTGAGTTGTTCCCTCGGCGGTCCGTTATCGCACGGCCCTTCGGTTGTCGTGGGCAAACGCACGTCCACGCGAGTCACGAAACGGCGCGCGAGGCTTTTCAAAAATTTGCCAATATGCGCATATGTAAGCCTGACGATTTAAGTGAAAGATGAAGTGCCAATCGGAAGATCGTAGGTTTGACTCCTATCTGGAGCATTCGGAGTTTTCCCTTTTTCCGAGTATGCTTGTATCTTTCTCTGAAAACATCGCCTTCGGCGGTAACTTTTTTGTTTGGCCTTGTTTTAAGCAGTGTATGACACTCTCAGTGTGTCTTACGGCACGTGCTAAAAGGCACGCGTGCTACATGATACGAGTACAAAGAGACTTGTGTGGGACGTGGCACTCAGAACAGCCCACTTGCACTCTCGACTGCAGGTATGAATAACGACTCGAGTTTTACTTGCGTGACAAGACATTGTGAGAAAGCTGCGTAACCATATTGGAAAGAACAAAAATTATCTTGCCGAACCTGTAAAACTCGGTATCAAACTAAACTTAGGGAATTATAGTTTGCTATCGGGAACTAAGTCAGATTTCTTTTGCTGTAAATTTTCAAAGCGATCGGCTGCACCACCTACTAACTACTGGACTGGTACTAGATTGGTAGTGTTTCAGAACCATTCCACGCGCGTTTGAACACCTGTGCTTAAGACATAAAACTGTGATAAAATTTTTCTTCGTGCTCGTCCGTGCAAACATAGGTCAACATAACGACAACATTTGTGTTGATTAAGTGGTCTTTTCAGCATTCGGAATTTCACTCCAATTTATTTCTCTTTGGTGTTGATGTTGACTGAAGTAGTTGAATTATTCACAAACTACTTTCAAAAGTGATTTACAAGAGGCACGAATACACGCTTGATGAGGGAAATTTTTTTTCACAACGTAATTGTCACCATTTTATTGCCTGAAAGGTGGTAGAATGAAACAATAATTTGAATGGCATACTTACTATCAAACTCAACTGAAAATTGTGAGCACGTTTTTTCCGTCTTCAAGGGCCTTATATCACTTCCTGGTGCGCTTTTTTGCCCACTTCAGTAGGCTGTGTGACATTTTACACTCCAATGATAGTATTGTT